GTGCGTGGTCTTCATGCCAAGATGGCACTGCCTTCCTGTGTCAGCTTGCTCAGGAGGGAGGCTGTTTCAGGGAGCTGGAGCAAGAATCTCTCACTGCACTGGGGTTGGTGGGGTTGGTGTGGCGGCCGCAAGAGGGTCCCAGCCTCACTCTTCACCTGCTGTGAGCCACTAGCCTCTCATTACCCCAAGATTTTGGAAGTGTAAAATTTTAACCTAAATGTATCAGTCATTCTGAACAGTGATTGATACATTACTTTTGAACACAGTGATAGATGTGTTTAATTATCATTTTTCTTTTTATTTCGTTATATTAATGCTACATGAATTTGCTTTGGTGATAAAATATCAAGCAACTGAAAGTATTAAGGAAAAAGGGAAAGCCCTCCTCAGTCCCAGTGGCCTGCTCTTCCTCCAAGATGATCTGTGGTGGCCGGGGTCTGTACCCTCTGGGCCTACACTTGCACCTGTGTAAACCCAGGAGTACTCCCGGTTCGTGATCTGCGTGCTTACCTAAAGGGTTGTGTGCTGGGTGTTGCTCTGCCCTGGCCATTAACGATGCCGACATGGGTCTGGATTGTCTTGTCCTGATTACCATTGGTGACTGAAGGAGTGCAGCACGTCTGGGCTTTAGTTTTCTGTTCTATATGATGCTGTTGGAAGGGCCTCACAGCGCCTGTGTGAGACTGGGGTCGTTTGGAAGATGCCGGACCCAGAGCTCTCGGTGGCATGTGCACGTCAACACTCCCCTCCACAGGCCAGATTCTTGACAAGGCTGCCCCAGGGACATCCACTGCACCTCGGTGGGCGGTCACTTGCCTCACCACCACCACAGCCAGCAGACAGCGCCCCCCCCAGGGGGAGCACCACTCGCCTGCCCAGGTGCCTTGCCCTGAGGACCCGAGTTTCCTTTCCAGTACTGGTTCTGAGAACCTGCAAAATGGTTGCTGCAGACACAGGTCTAAGCTCAGCAGCACCTCGTGAGGTAGATGTCAGATAAAGCAAGTGCGTTCAGCTACAAACAGCTCAGCACTGCAGACCACAGGTGTTCTGTTCCTTCCCGCTGTCGGCTGCCATGCTGAAATCCTCATCCTGGATTAGATCAGGTTCTCTTCTGAGTACCAACACTGCCACGTGGTCCAGAGGACTCCTGAGACCTTACAGTACCAGCATGGGAGGGCCGCTCATCCCTTCTGGATTGCCCACATCCATCCCCACACTCCAACAACCAAAGTCATGGGCAAAGACGTGACTGATTTGGACTTTAAACTCATTAAAGAGGTGAAGGAGCACTTAACCATGAACAGAGGGTGATTTAAGTATTTTCCTGCGTTATTCTTTTGATTCCTGTTGTTTCATTTTTTATCCATCCCTATAATAATAGTTATCATCCTTATGATTCCTTCAGCCCAAATCACAATTTAAAGTCAAAGTAGTTTCATACACAAACTTCAAAGCAGGTAGAATCATGTTCAATTCACAGGTGAGGAAACAAGTCAGGGGCAGAGGACGGGCTAGGAACAGGCAGAGCTGGAAGGAAAACGCCCTGAGCCAGGCTTCTTTCCTTCTGAAGCTTGCGCGTGACAGCCCTTCATTCACATTTACCTCTGCTATAGTCGTCCTCTTCCTGGCCTGTGTTGTCACTGTCACTCTCTGAACATGATCATTCCTTCTTTCTTGAGAGTCTGCAAGGGAATGCCTTGCTTTCTGTAGACCACTGGGAATGTGTGTCCTCCCAGGAGCAAGTCCTACCAAGGAATGTCCCCGTGGAAGGGCGACGGCTGACATTACTAAGACTTGGCACTGAAGGAAACACAGCCCTTTACTCAAGCAGGGAAGAGCAGCTCAGGTACCACAGACCCAAGGCCGTACCATGTGTCCCTCCCCACCACACCCTGAGCCACCTTCTCTGTCCATATATGAGTTAGAAGCAGCAGCCCCAGAGTCGGGGACTGGCCTGCCAGCCAGGAGGACATGCGGTGGCTGGCCGCCAGCACCCGCGCTCAGACACTCTGCTCCCTCCTGACGTAAGGATCACAGGTTGAACCTCTTAGGTGTGCAGGAGACATCTTAAAAAGCGGATTTCCTGTGCAGACTACAGGAGGCAAGAGTCTAGGAAAGCCACAGGGGGGCGTGGAGTCCTTGGGTAGGTTCCAAAGGTTCGTGGGGCTGCGTCTCTGCACTGACAAGCCCCCCTGCTCGCTGGGCCACACAGGCCAGACTGTAGCAGTTGTCTGGCTCTTGCTGTTCAGTGTTGCGAGCCTGAGGAAGAGGCACTGTCAAAACACATCCCTCATCTCTAACCAACCCCCTGCAGAACTTCTAGGGAGAAAACATAAAAGGCAAAACCATTTCCACTGGAGGTTAATCCTTCAGCATTGATTCACATCACCAAATGGGCACACGTATGTGTCATTTCAGCAAAACATCAAAGCAAAGGGTCTTTCTGCAACAAAAATGTCAGGAGAGCCAGATGGCAGGTCGGTGGGCACAGAGTGAGGTACTGCTCCCGCCCAGAGTCCCGGTAGCACCTCCTCTCTGCTCCAGGGCCATGGGGACACCTCCTCAGCCAGTCTCTTTGTCCTGTGGCCAGCAGTGCCAGCTTTATAGGTGCTTTTGGGGTAGAAAGTCATGTGTACAGCAATCCCTGATGCCACTTAGCCAGTTTTCAGGGCCACAAAGTGTCCGCACTGTGCAAACAGAGGCCATCTGCGTGGAACGAGAGTGACACTTCCTGTACAGATGGCCCCTGGCTAGAACTCTTGGCAGAGCACTCGTGCTAAAGGATGTGTCTTGCATTTAGCCCACTCATGTGGTTGTCGGGTGGATATGTGGATTCAGAGTGCTTCCTTCAGAGAGTGTCAGAGAGCCTGGCTGAGCTGGGTCTCCCAGACCCAGGAGGAGCAGCCGGCCGTGAGTCAAGAGCAATTACTTGAAAGAGCCCTGGTATTATTCAAAATCAATAATGAATGTCAAGTTCCTATGCTAATTGCTTTCGTGTATTCTGAATGAGAAAGTGTGGGCCAGTTTCTAAAAGTCAAAGAGGCTGGACTGCAGGAGATGCCCACTGACTTCAGGCTGGTCCTCGTGGGGCTTGGTGCTGACACTCAGCAGCAGCCAGGGAAATGCACAGGTGCCTCCCTCGCCACCTTCCCGCTCTAACCCGAGACTGAGGGGGGAAGTCATGGTTTGCCCTAGATAAATCCCCCAGGGTCCAGGTGGCTGTTAGGGGGAATGACTGACACCGGAGTGTGGGGGGACTTTTGCTTTCATCAAGAAAAAGTTCAGTGCACAAGTCAACTGCAAATAAAGGACCAATTAGAGTTGAAAACATTGTAGAATTTCCTGCATTTATGCTGTGTGTGGGGGTGGGGATGGGGGGGTTATGTTTGTGTGTGTGGACATGTGGTTTATGTTTGTGTGTATAGACACTGGTTTATAGTGTCTGTGTGTGGACATGTGGTCTGTGTGTGTGTGCATGTGTGTAAACACATAGTATATATATGTATGTGTGTGAGTGGACACATGGTTTAGGTGTGTGTGTGGACACGTGGTTTATGGGTGTGTGTGTGTGCACACGTGGTTTATGTGTGTAGACACGTAGTATGTGTGTGTAAGTGTGTGAGTGGACATGTGTGGTTTATGTGTGTGTGCGTGGACACATGGTATATGTGAATATGTGTGTGAATGAACACGTGGTTTGTGTGTGTGTGTGTGTGTGTGTGTGAGAGAGAGAGAGAGAGAGAGAGAGAGAGAGAGAGAGATTACTGGGTACTGATAGACATGAGAAGGCCACAAAACAGACTTTTCTCTGCAAAGATTTTCTCATGTAGATAGCTCTAAACTGCCATAAATAAAACCCCAAATCATAATTTATATTAAAACCTTAATAGATCTTAAAATGTTACAAAATAACCAGTGCTTCTAGACTTGCACACAGGCTAGTACACTAACTCTCCCTGAGTTGTCAACCTTGGTTTTTCAGGATCGCTCACCCCTAGCTCCAGGCACATTTCTGGGTCTTGGCACATAGTCCTTAGGGAGACCAATAGGTCGCCAGGTGTGCGTCCCACTCCTGGATATGGTCCCTGCTCCCTGCCTCAGCCCCTTGCCGGGCTCCCTGGATGTTGTGTCTGTTTCGGGGCCACCCGTGGGAAGTGTGGCAGTGTCTTTTAGAGGGTTTATGGTAATGCCGCTGTGTGGAGAGCAGGCAGCCAGCCCCAGGGTCCCCTCCTTCCCGACACACTTGGCTGCTGCCCATTAACACCTCGTCTCTCAGTGCCAGAGACTGGATTTAATGAGCAGCTCTGAATTTGGAGGTTTGCACCAGAAACAATGGCTTCTACTCTGACACACTGCACCCTCACTTTCTGATATTTTAGTTCATCTATTTTTTTGAATTCTTTCTTTGGCAGTATTCTTTGAAATAATATGGGGTTTTTTTTATTTTAGACATAATAACAGTCAATATCATCTAATACTGAGATGATATTGCACAAAATCTTGACAGAGGGTTAATAAATAAATTTTAAATTTTCCCTAATGAAGATGATTCCTTTGGTTGTGGTTCTGCCGAGATAAAGCTGAAGACATTCGGGAGTGCCCTTGGCAACAGCAGACTACATTTTTTTATGAACGAAAGCACATTATTTCCAAAGAAAAGTTAATATCTAAAATATATCTCTTATTACAGTGTTTCCTAATTGCATCCAAGTTTTTAAAGAAGGCAGTATGGCACAAATTGGCTGATAATTGGTCAATCTAAACATCACCTGTGTTCATTTTCTTCCAACTCAGACATGCATTTAAAGAGTTAAGTATCTCAGATTTCAAAGTGAGTTAGGCGAGTGTTTAAGAGTGGTCTCTCCTTATCCAGCGTGAGTGTCCTCCCTGCTGAGCAGCTGCCTCCCAGGGAATAGCCCAGTGCCCCAGCATGAGAGTATGGAGGTGAGGCTCGGTCCCCTGTTCAGCTAGTTATCGTCCACTCTTCTTCTCTCCTTTAGAAATGAACGCGAAGGAGGACTGGTGAACCCCGTGGTCCCGCAGGCGTCTCCGCGTTCTGTGGAGGAGGGAGAGCCCACCCACTCAGGTATGCCCTGCCTTCGGCACTCCGGGGCCCAGGCTGGCCGCTTTGAGGAGCGCTCCTGGCTGCATGGTGCTCCCTGGCCTCTGGGAGGCAGTCCACAGTCTGCTGCACACCCTCTCCCCAGGACAGTTCAGGCTAAGAAGGGCCATTCACAGTTGAATTAGATGATGCATACGTTGTTCTCGCTACTGAAGTTACATGGGGCAGGAATGATGGGTGCTTGCCTTGGGGTGCTCAGCAGAGTCCTTGGGGTGGCCAATGGCAAGGAAATGGGACCAGTAACCCCAAAAGAAGGGTCCCCTCAGAGTCATTGGAAACAGACCCCACTCACAGCCGGTGCTGAAGCTCACTAATTCCGAGAGGAGGTGGGTGGGGTGCTGGTCAGCAGACCCCGGGGGACTGCTGCTGGTCATCCACGTGACTGCAACATGGCCCAGACTGCAGATCCTACCAGGCCTCCACATCTGAATGCATCCCTGGGGGTGACTTCCAAGGCTTGGCTTTACCTCCCGGGGCCCACGTTCGGTGCACATTTTACACAGGCTGGAGAAAAGTAAGAGAATCCTGGTAAAGGGGTGATTTTTCAGAATTCTGGCCTGTGCTCTATCTAAGGTTTGCTGGGCAATCTGACATGTCTGTCTGCTGAATCCCCGTTCGCTTGTCTGATAGTAGAAATCCGTCCTCCCCGCAGAAAGGAGGCTCTGCCCTCTCCCAGATGCTCAGCCTGGTGGGCGCCGCTACTGTAAGAGGTCCGGGGAGCCGTAATGGATGGCAGTTGTTCTCATTTCCTGTCTGTGCCCTGCTCCTTTCCTGGAAGAAGCCCTGCACTCTGATGCTGCCGGGGGAAGGCCTTGGGTTTACTTGTACATTCCCCAGTGTCACAAAGCAGCACAACAGAAACAAAAGGAGCTGTTTGTTTTACCTTACACTCAGCTCTGAAATCTGTCCGGTTCTGATTGCAGCTGCTCCAGGCATGTGGGCTATCTGTGTTTGGTCTAATTTCTCCCAGTTTTAAGAACATTTAATGGAATATTTCATGATTCTAATTTTTAAACATGGCTTGACAGAATTGACACTTCTAACATTAGGTTAAATGTTCATGTTTAAATGAGGGTTATCAGTGTAGTTCAATATAAAACATTTAAGCACAAATTAGGCAAAGTGATAACAAAGAAGAATAAGCTAGTTCTGAAAGAGAACTGTGTCCGTGCTCAGCGGGCCGACCTGGACAGGCTCCCGGGGGCTGCACGGAGCACAGAGGAAGACACATGGATTTGTACGGCAGGAGCACTTCCTCAAGGCTGCTGCAGGCTCTAGTCTTTCTTTGCCTTGAGCTCATGACCTCCAGACTGCCTGGCGCCCTCCGTGCATCTGTCCACCTCCTGTGATCATGCTGGCAGGCCAGGGTCAGGGTCTCTCCTGGGGGTGAGAATGAGCGGGTTACCTAGTCTCCGGGGGCCTGTGGGTCCAGTCTGAAGGCAGGAGAAGCAAGGAGATCTCCGCATGGTGGCTCTGTCCCGGGGACACTGGCCTCTGCTCCCTGTTGGGCAGTACTGAGTGCTCAAGGCCAACGCGAGGCCTGCACAAGCTGCAGAGGCACCTGCGCTCATCCTCTGAGACTTCTGTGACTGGCATCCTGTCTCTGGTGCCTTAAGGAGTAGCGTTGGGACATCAGGTTGTGGTAGGCACTTCTTTCCTGAATGTGTGCCATGAGTCTAATCCCTGGGTTCCCTCTCACCACTGGGAGCCAAGCAGAATCTTCCCATAATTGTCTATAAAGCCGTAGTTTTGAGCCACCCCAGCGCACGACTCAGGCTGGCCTTCGTGGAGGCCCAGCGCTGTGGCTCACGTCCCGAGCATCCCCAGGCCTGTGCCTTAGGGGCTTGGTCCCATGGTGGTGCTGTGGGGTAGGGGGAAACCTTCAAGGGGCGGGGCCTCATGGGAGGTGTTTAGGCCACTGGGGGCGTGTCTTGGAAGGGGACAGTGGGACCCTAGCTACCTCTCCTTCCTCTTGCCTGTCCAGGCTGTAAGGTGGATGGGCTTTCTCTGCCATACCCTCCTGCCGTGACGGGCTGCCGCAGACCCACAGCCAGGGGCCCAACACCCGACCACAGACTGACACTTCCAGAACGTGAGTCTCCATGGGCTGACGACTCAGACAGCTGCGGCCGTGGTGGGACTCTGAGGGCCATGAGCAGGTTGCATCGAGACCGTTGCACAGAGGGCCTCTGTAGCAAGGTTCCCCCTGCCTGCATTGAGCGAGTGAGCCACCATTCAACCCAACTTTGTTCACAAAGTGGATAGAATGGACGTGGCCCACCTGCCTCCTGCAATGGACATGGCCCACCTGCCTCTGCTGATGCACGGTAGAGATCTGAATTCATAGTCCACCACAGCCACAGTGACTTTTTAAAGAAGGACTATCACTCTTCCCCGCTCTTAGAACTTTAGTACTTGCAGAGGCATGGGATACAGTCTGAGGTGACAGCAGGGACATGGGATACATCTAAGGTGACAGCAGGGACAGGGGATACAGTCTGAGGTGACAGCAGGGACAGGGGATACAGTCTGAGGTGACAGCAGGGACATGGGATACATCTAAGGTGAATCAGGGACATGGGATACAGTCTGAGGTGACAGCAGGGACATGGGATACATCTAAGGTGAATCAGGGACATGGGATACAGTCTGAGGTGACAGCAGGGACAGGGGATACAGTCTGAGGTGACAGCAGGGACATGGGATACATCTAAGGTGACAGCAGGGACAGGGGATACAGTCTGAGGTGACAGCAGGGACATGGGATACATCTAAGGTGACAGCAGGGACATGGGATACAGTCTGAGGTGACAGCAGGGACATGGGATACATCTAAGGTGACAGCAGGGACAGGGGATACAGTCTGAGGTGAAGCAGGGACATGGGATACAGTCTGAGGTGACAGCAGGGACATGGGATACAGTCTGAGGTGACAGCAGGGACAGGGGATACAGTCTGAGGCGACAGCAGGGACATGGGATACAGTCTGAGGTGACAGCAGGGACATGGGATACAGTCTGAGGTGACAGCAGGGACAGGGGATACAGTCTGAGGTGACAGCAGGGACAGGGGATACAGTCTGAGGTGACAGCAGGGACATGGGATACAGTCTGAGGTGACAGCAGGGACAGGGGATACATCTAAGGTGACAGCAGGGACAGGGGATACAGTCTGAGGTGACAGCAGGGACAGGGGATACAGTCTGAGGTGACAGCAGGGACATGGGATACATCTAAGGTGACAGCAGGGACATGGGATACAGTCTGAGGTGAAGCAGGGACAGGGGATACAGTCTGAGGCGACAGCAGGGACATGGGATACAGTCTGAGGTGACAGCAGGGACATGGGATACAGTCTGAGGTGACAGCAGGGACAGGGGATACAGTCTGAGGTGACAGCAGGGACAGGGGATACAGTCTGAGGTGACAGCAGGGACATGGGATACAGTCTGAGGTGACAGCAGGGACATGGGATACATCTAAGGTGACAGCAGGGACATGGGATACAGTCTGAGGTGACAGCAGGGACAGGGGATACAGTCTGAGGTGACAGCAGGGACATGGGATACATCTAAGGTGACAGCAGGGACAGGGGATACAGTCTGAGGTGACAGCAGGGACATGGGATACATCTAAGGTGACAGCAGGGACATGGGATACAGTCTGAGGTGACAGCAGGGACATGGGATACATCTAAGGTGACAGCAGGGACAGGGGATACAGTCTGAGGTGACAGCAGGGACATGGGATACAGTCTGAGGTGACAGCAGGGACATGGGATACAGTCTGAGGTGACAGCAGGGACAGGGGATACAGTCTGAGGTGACAGCAGGGACATGGGATACATCTAAGGTGACAGCAGGGACATGGGATACAGTCTGAGGTGACAGCAGGGACAGGGGATACAGTCTGAGGTGACAGCAGGGACAGGGGATACAGTCTGAGGTGACAGCAGGGACATGGGATACAGTCTGAGGTGACAGCAGGGACATGGGATACATCTAAGGTGACAGCAGGGACATGGGATACAGTCTGAGGTGACAGCAGGGACAGGGGATACATCTAAGGTGACAGCAGGGACAGGGGATACAGTCTGAGGTGACAGCAGGGACAGGGGATACAGTCTGAGGTGACAGCAGGGACAGGGGATACAGTCTGAGGTGACAGCAGGGACATGGGATACAGTCTGAGGTGACAGCAGGGACAGGGGATACAGTCTGAGGTGACAGCAGGGACATGGGATACAGTCTGAGGTGACAGCAGGGACATGGGATACAGTCTGAGGTGAAGCAGGGACAGGGGATACAGTCTGAGGTGACAGCAGGGACATGGGATACAGTCTGAGGTGACAGCAGGGACATGGGATACATCTAAGGTGACAGCAGGGACAGGGGATACAGTCTGAGGTGACAGCAGGGACAGGGGATACAGTCTGAGGTGACAGCAGGGACATGGGATACATCTAAGGTGACAGCAGGGACAGGGGATACAGTCTGAGGTGACAGCAGGGACAGGGGATACAGTCTGAGGTGACAGCAGGGACATGGGATACAGTCTGAGGTGACAGCAGGGACATGGGATACATCTAAGGTGACAGCAGGGACAGGGGATACAGTCTGAGGTGACAGCAGGGACATGGGATACATCTAAGGTGACAGCAGGGACAGGGGATACAGTCTGAGGTGACAGCAGGGACATGGGATACAGTCTGAGGTGACAGCAGGGACAGGGGATACATCTAAGGTGACAGCAGGGACAGGGGATACAGTCTGAGGTGACAGCAGGGACATGGGATACAGTCTGAGGTGACAGCAGGGACATGGGATACATCTAAGGTGACAGCAGGGACAGGGGATACATCTAAGGTGACAGCAGGGACATGGGATACAGTCTGAGGTGACAGCAGGGACAGGGGATACATCTAAGGTGACAGCAGGGACAGGGGATACATCTAAGGTGACAGCA